TTTGAAGCACCAAGTCTTGTCCCGTCTCTATCACCTTCTGAAGTACCAAGTCCTAAGCCTGCTCGTCCAACTTCTGAAGCACCAAGACTTGTCCCGTTTCAATTAAATTCTGAAGTACCAAGCCCTAAGCCTGCTCGTCCAACTTCTGAAGTACCAAGTCCTAAGCCTGCTCGTCCAACTTCTGAAGTACCAAGTCCTAAGCCTGCTCGTCCAACTTCTGAAGCACCAAGATCTGTCACAGCTCATACTGGTTCAAGAAAAGAAATTGTTTGCGGTCTTCGAGCTTTGAGTTTGTATACTCAAACAGTGAGAACAGTGAGACGGAGAACCAATCCAAGTCTTCTTCAATCTAGGATGGTTGAGCCTTCTAGTCCACGAGCGTTGCAGATCCGTGCGAGAGTTAAGCAACAAGCTGCTAATGCAACACAAGCTGTAGAAGGTGACATGTTTGGCTTCTCTTGTCTTTCTGAAAGTAATAAATCCTAAACTTCTTTTCATTCTAACCTGTCTTGCTCTTTCTTGGTCTCTCTAGGAACAGTTGTGGAAGCTGCTAATGCAACACAAGTTGTAGAAGGTGCTGGATCTAAAGATCATCGTTTCAAAGAGATACGTCAATCAAACTCTGATGAAGAACTGTTGGAGTTATTTCTACATCGACCAGCTCGGCATCCTACTTGGAAGTGAGTTATCCAAACACTTCATAAAGTCTTTTCAACTAAACATGTATTGTGTTTTAGAAAGGTCAATCAGATCACTTTATATTGCTAAAGAATTGGCATGACTTTTACCAGTTTTACAATTTGCATTCTTTGAAGTAACTCCAGTCGCTAGAATGTTAAGCAATCCTTAATCTATTTCACATCAGGCATTCATTTGCTACATTGTTGAAACTGAAGATGAGCAGAGGCAGATACTTGATTGTTTTTCAAGATAATGTCCATAATAAAGATTTCATGATGCCAATATTGTATTTTTCTTGTGACTTTTTTAGATTCCTTCCTAGATTAGGATCTTTTGACCTTCACAAGTTACTAGCTCTGCAGTTTCTCTTTGCTTGTTCATGATGAACTTTTTCTTTCAACCAATATACCAGGGGACGCATTGTGAATTCTGCCACACCACCTGAGTTTGACTGCGAGTTTTGTGCTAAACCGGCATCCAATATCCGCAAGAAGGCAGACAAACTTTCAAAGGCGATGCCTATGTTACTCAAGGCAGAACTGCTTCCTACAGGTCATATTTTGATGGATGTGTTTGGCAGAACCCCAAGGCTGTCGAATGTCGAAATATACTTTTTCCCAGATGAGCAGGAAACAGAAAGGTACTCAGAATCCCATTTTTACAAAGGACAAGATTCTTATTCATGTTCTATTTGTGGTATCAGAACACTTATATCTAATCAGGGTATGTACACGTTTTTTTTCAGGGTTAAAGGGGAACATGCTCATTTGTTTGAGGCCACGGCGACTCGCAATGCAATGATCAAAGTTAATATAAACGGCACTGAGTTATTGATATGCTCCTCAAAGCTATTGGACAAGGCCTCCCAGTGTATGCTTAGTGTATTCCTGCAGATAATATTTCTTTTGTCCATAAGTTTCCAATGGCTTTAAGAATAACACGAGTTTTATGTTTTGCAGTTCTCATCAAGGCGCAGAAGAAAACAGAAAACTTCCTATGGGGTTTCTTTCTCCCGGCCAAAAACTCAATAGCACTAGTCCCAGGAACTTCTTTTAAAGATCTTGATGATGGGGATGTTGCTGACATGGACCTAGACGCCGAATACCCGACCCCGAGTGTTGCCCTGAAGCTAATAGCAGAAACGCAAAGCACTCCCTCAAGATCACCAGGGAAGTTGAGCGGAGAAGTTAGCGTACCTCCTGGTTTCGAGAAGAAATGGACACCAGCCTTGGTGAAGCTTAATATACAAGGAACATCGAACACTCTGTCTGATCTAACCGGATGCGCTGGAATAGTGCGAGACCAATCAGGGAAGTGGGTGTTTGGCTACTTTAGGTGTCATAAAGGCATGCCTAAAGTAGTAGCTGGGCTTTTGGCTATGTATCATGGCCTGAAAACTCTCTGGGACAGCGGTATCCGAAGAATCCGCTTGGAGACAAGTAGCATTGAGATCATCAATGCTCTAACAACGAATTCGGACCTGTTTCCTAAACGGGGATCGTTTCTGGACCGGTGCAAGGACATAATCTTGAGGAACTGGGAGTGTGACATTTACCTTATCTCCGAAGAACAGAACTCGTGTGCAGAATGGTTAGCAAGCAGAGTAGAAGAACAGCCTCAAGGACTGGTTTTCTTCGAATACCCTCCTCGAGCCCTCGTGGATCTTCTGGAGAAAGAATGTCTTGCATCTACGTAAGCTTCTTCAGCTTTTGAGGTAGAGTCACATTAAGCAGCTTAGATAGAGAGGTACATATCTCAGCGATTTAGTAGTTTGACCTCTTGAGAATATTATTAGAAGAAGAAGAGATTTTTTTTTAGTCCAAGTACAGTGGAGTTTGATCATTGTAAGTTGTAACCAAGACCTTTTTGTGAAGAATCGAAGTACAAATTTGTGACCATAATAAGATCATGTAGTGAGGTAACAGTGAGTGTTGCTTCTTCTTCAGCTTTGGCTTAGGCACTATCTCAACCCAAAAACCAGGTTTCAATTTGACCGGTTTAACCGGCCAATCCAATTCGCTCTTTAAGTAATCGGTTCTTGTAAAACGTGACCTGTCAGATTGTGATTGGTTGAAATGCTAGGTTTCTCACTTTCCCTCCAAAGATCT